GGTACTCCCCTTGATATTCAGTACCTGTTGCAGGTACTCCTCTTGTTATTCAGCGCCGTGTGCTGGTACTCCCCTTGATATTCAGTACCTGTTGCAGGTACTCCTCTTGTTATTCAGCGCCGTGTGCTGGTACTCCCCTTGTTATTCAGTACTAGGTGCCAGTATTCCCCTTGTTATTCAGTACTAGGTGCCAGTATTCCCCTTGTTATTCAGTACCAAGAGCTGGTACTCCCCTTGTTATTCAGTACCAGGTGCCGGTACTCTGAAGAGAAAAACAGGTGCTGGTACTGCGTGCCGGTGAGTACTGGCTCACTTCACATGATGTAAATAATCTCAAAATACAAAAGTAATACTGAGTACATTTTGAGTACACTTTGAGTATAATCAAACATAAATCAAATTGGAGGAGAGTTACTGAATATGACAAATCATTAGCTATCTGTAATATGCAAAATAATATCTGAATTAAGACCTAGTTTACACATCTTTGTCCAAATCTTCACTATCATTGGCTATGACAAGTTAACCACTTTTAATTAACTACAGTTGTTGACCTTGTCACAATATATTAACCTTTGACCCTATCTTTCTGACTGCCACTATGAACTAACATGTAAAATATTCCTTATCTACCTCAACAGCCCAGTGTTTTCAAAGTAAAACCAAAACCAGTTAGGTTGCACAACAGCATTCAAAACACTAATATCAGATGACCACGATATCTTTAGATCCCTCTGAACTGATTCTGACTTCTAAAGAGACATCTGAGTTATAGAGGCTCAACAATGAGCTGAAATGTATCTCTGGGCACAATGTGATCCCATTTGGTTGGTATTTGGCTCCCTTTCTAAATTGGGAGCAGCAAAATGAGGACTTTACCTTTCCATTGAGATCTTTTGAAAGATGCTGCTGACCTGCTCCAGGTCATAAGGGTCTAAGTTCTCAGAGTGGCAGGATGATGAGGAGGACTGAAATGAGAGAACCTCGTGATAGGCCCCATCAGACTCCAGGAAGTCACCTGGAGGAAGAACAGGAAAGCTTTCTTCACTGTCCTGACAAATTGCTTCTCATAATTTAATGCGAATGCAGTCTCACACTTTCATTATTGGTGATTATAACAAGCCATTACAATTATTTAAACTGCATATGCATTAATTAAGCTGTGGTTCTTTTGTTTCTTTGCCAGATGCTGCCACAACTGAAGAGATGCCTTTCTCAAATTTTAACCTTAAAATTAATGTTAATATCAAACATACTGTATCCCTGCTTTGTATAAACAATTAAGGAAAATGGGTGGCTGGATATTAAAACATTAATCCTCTTTATGTGAGGCAGTATTTAGTCATTTTATGAATGGATAATTTACCGCAAAGTTCCACGTTTTCATTGTCATCATCGTCAAAGTCACAACGGCTGAAAGTGAAAAACAAATTTAAAAACATGCCCATGACCAGCTGAACATTCGCCTGACAATACGCTATGAGAAATGTACAGATGCTCAGCATCCATGATCTATGCACTGCATTCTTACTGTTGCCAGGACAACAGCTCTCGCCTGAAGAGCCGGCACTCTCCTCACGGTTTCGGGTATTAACAGCCCACAAAGTGATCTGGAAACGGAAGAATGACATGCACACCTTCTGGGGACGGAGTCGTCATCGCCTTCTTTCGTCCTCCTGACAATAGACTCATTCCCCGGGGGCTCTGGTGCAGTGGACATTACACTATTGCGACACCTCTGGAGCTGTCACGAACACAGAAATCGGAAAGATGCAAGAGTTTCTCTTTTTTAGTTCCTGTATTGCAATATTACAGAAACATTCCCATAAACCAGTCTCCTTGGTGTTAACATTTAAATGGCAAGAATCTCAATTCTGGTGACTCAGCCAACACGCGGCATTTAACTGTCTAGTTTTACATGCTCATTTGATATCTTTAAATGGTAGAAATGCTTATGGTATTAACGATCAGAAAAAATATAGCATCGAATCTTTCTTGCAGTTGAAGCGAGCTGGATGACACATTTTTAGCTGTATCCTGCTACACAAACAACAGAGTAGTTCATAGTTTGACTATTGTTCATCATGTGCAATGTACAGTACAACCTGAAGCTGCCTCATTAAAAGGCATTAGAAATATGTACAGATGTACATATTTTTAGCAAGTCGTTTTTCCTGCACAACTCTTAGGGACTGACGGGAAATGATACAAAATGAATGTTGCTGCATTTTACGGCTATGTGTTTGTGTTAAGTGCAGCTAATGGGCTTAACAAATCAGGTCCTCGTTCACATGTCATAAAGACTTTCATACTGGCATCCGATAAACAAGTTAACCTAATTAAAGTAATTGGCGAAAACGAACAGTATTAAATGCAGCATCTGGTAATTTCCCAGTATTGAAACACGAGATGAAATTCCAGTCAAGAACCTCAAAGAACAGCAGAGACGTTGAGAACTACATGTCTGTGTTGAGTCGTATCTCACCGTAACTCCCTTAAGATTGGGTCTGCGTTTGAGCTGAGGTTCAGTTTGGAAGAATTCTTCATCATCTGGGGACTCCTCACTGGTTATGCTGACTGCGGAGTCCTCCAGCTCTCGTACTGCATCCCGGCCCATGAGCTGAGGCATCAAGGCTAGCGGAAGGTCCCGGGGCAAAGTCTGAACGCAGGGAAAGAGGAGATGAAGCAGCATGTCCATGGGAAAGTGGGAAGCGGCTGCTGAAGTCGGAGGGCCCTCACGTGTTCCAGGATATTCCCTTTGGAGATCCGCCTCAGCTTGGACACCAGGTTGACCGACTTCGCCTCCTTGCGCACAATCTCGATGTGCAGCTCGTCGTTCCTCTCCTCCAGCTCACGTACCTGCTTGCGGTACTTGTCTTTGTCCATCAGGCACTGCGAGAACTGGTGTTGCGCCTCATCCCGTGAACGGAAAGCCTGTCGAGTGCCACGTTATAGCACATTATACCTTCCAGCAATAATTGCATATCAGTAATTAGTAATAATTCAGCATCCTAAGTTTTATGAATAGGACGTATTGGTGTCGATATGGCATTTTCTCTGTTACACAAGGGAGTAAGTGGTTAGTCTGATAAAATCCATCTTCTAACAGCTTATCCCAGGCAGGGTCATGGGGCCCTGTTATCACAGCATGTTACAACACATTATGTAATAATACCACATTATGTAATAACAAAATGTAACAAAGTTTCACTTCATTATGTAATAGCACCCACATTTTGCAATAATGTATCACATTATGTAATAGGCAGCTTGAACGCAATATGTAATGAATTTCCCTGCATTTTGTAATACATTATTACATACTGTGGGAGTTGGACATTTTAGTAATGAAAATGTAATACTGTGGATTATATAATAAACAACCAAAATGGACATCTTCATTGACACTTATGACATAACGCTGTGTTATTGCACAATGCATTGTTACATGGCACCACAGGGCGCAAGTTAAAATACACCCTGAATAGGATGCCAGTATATTGCAGGGTACATACAGACACAATCTCATAACTACAGTAAATGAACCACTTTAGTTAACACTTTTGATTCCCATTTATGCATTAAATGCTCCATTAAGCTTAATTAACAGGATGCTGTACACACAATGGACACTGCAACACAATTCTAATACCTGGTCTCTCTCCCGCTCCACTTCCTCCAGCTGTACCAGGATGGTGTTCATGCGGTTCTTGTACATCTCGCAGTCCTTGACCAATGCAGAACACCTGAGCCCCAGATCCTCCTTTTCCTCCAGGTACTACAAAAGGTACATACACTCTATTGTTAAGCGGCGCCTACTCCAAAAGTCTGACGCAAGGCAGCTTCCTGCTCGAAACGTGAAACAGCGAGTGAATTAAGAAATGAAGATCCTTCATATCATCGATTCCTACGTCCACACTCATAAGATCTTCATTTGCCAAATGGTCTGGGAAAACCAGGTCAGCACAGCACTTATTTTTGTGTTATTTTGTGCACATGTGCACATATACAGAACAGAGGAGCAAAAAAAACAAGTAGCTTCATGTCAGTTAATTCGTTTTCTACCTTGGTTGGGCTAATGCTAATCTGTTCCAGGCATTTCCAGGATTTCTAAGATATCTCTTCAAAAAAATAGCCCAGTAGCTATGTGGACGGGACAAACCCAATGTAGTCCCTCGATCCTCACCTTGTCCCTCAGCTTCTCAGTCTGCTGCAGCTCCATATGCAAGTTGTACAGCCGCTGGAACAAATCCTGACGGTCGTCCAAGGCTTCCTGGCGGTCATGCTCTAGGATGTCCACGATGACCTTCTCAGAGTCCAGTAGTCCCTTCATTTCAGGCTAGAGGCACAAAGAGTCCAAAGGCACACATCACAGGGGAACAGCGATATGCCAGACATATTCATGTACAAGGTACAGATAAGTGAATATTCCTTTGCTTGTTTATAAGAGATAACCTCCACTGTTTGGCGATATAGATAATTATTTGATGTGTTTTCATGTCCCTTCAAAAGTTAGCACTGACAAGATCTTAGTATTCCTTAGTTAGCTAATTAGGTCCTTTAATTCACTGAGACACTATACAAGAAGATCAATACAAGAAAAAAAATCCTCAGTGAAGTTCAACAAAATTACAGTTTAAGGACCTGAACTGCAGAACTGTGCAGTGTTTGCGTGACTTTAAAAAAGCGACTGACAGCTTTCTTAGTGTTATCTCAGTCACAATGAAACGGCATTACTTTTCAATAACCCGAGTGTTTAAAGAATTTAAATCTTACTGTACCTCAGCATAGCTGAATAAGGAGAGTTCGGTACATAGAACTGAAATATCGTGAATCTCAAAAAACGTTGTTCCCTCTTTCAAATATAAATCCTGCCTATGTAAAAGAAGGTCTAAAACAGGATGATTCAAAAATCGTAGACTGTTAGGTAACTTTGCCTGCAATTTTAACATGCACCGGTCCACTTTCAGGCTCAGTGGATCTGCACAACCTGAACATATTTTGCTCTCTCGAGGGGCATGTCTGCAGAGTTTCCACAAGGGAACCTGGCAAGGAAAACATGTGTACTGACAGCCATTGATGCAAGGTTATTTACTACTAGTTGGCTAAGAAGGTAAGTCTTACAATGGGGCGCGTCTCCCAAAGGCTCTTTTTAGCAACTCGCGTAATTGTAACCGTTCAGTTGCATGATTCCAAGAAACATAAGTTACTAACGTTGTTAGCAACTGTGCTTTTAGGAAACGTACTCCAGGTCAGCAGCAGAGGAGTAAACAACATTACGAAGTCTGTGATACTGACATTGACAAGAAGCTTCACTACTGCCTGTAGCATACTTTTGGTTAGCTGAACAAATATCTAATAGACACTGAAGTCTATTAGAAAAACAAACAAAAAAGAACAAAAATGCCAAAAGTCTCGGATTTTGTTTGGTTACTTATGGTTAAGTTTAGGGCTAGGTAGGGGTTAAGGTCATCACTAGAGTTTTCCCCATGGAAATGAATGAAGAGTCCCCACAAAGGTATAATTACAGTACAAACCTGAGTGTGTGTGTGTGTGCGTGTGTGTATGTGTGTGAGCGGGTTTACCTATCCTTATGGGGACACAATGTCTCCATAACGTGATAAATATCTGTTTTTTTTCCCTTATGGGGACCGGTTTCCTGGTCCCCATAATGGAAAACTCTATTTTATAAAAATCAGTGACTGCTATGAAAAAACTAAAAATGCAAAAACTCTTGTATTTTGTTAGGTTACTTATGGTTATGGTTAGGGCAGGGTAGGGGTTAAGGTTGTCATAGTTACCGTTAGCATTTTTCCCATTGAAATGAATGAGCAGTCCCCATAAGGATATGTATACCCTACGTGTGTGTGTGTGTGTGTGTGTGTGTGTGAGTGTGTCCGACAGGCAGTTATTAGGGCAAATACTGGTTAGTATGACAGAGCTCCCAAAGTGCTCACTTGTGCATTTGGGTAAAATGAGTCTCCGGCTGTGGGAACTTCTCCCCCCATAAGTTCCCTTTTGAGGGCATGAGCCTCATTTTCCCTGATGGAGAGTAATTTGTCCCTTACTTTCCTCTCCATCACCGCCAGCAACTCCAGCAGGAGACTGATGACAGAGCTGGCCTTCTTAGTGTGTTTTTATATAGCTGGGTATTTTTACCTTTTCAGGTATTATTCGGATAGCACAGGCTTAAAAAATTTCACACAATGCAGTCTAGGTCAATCCAAAGCTAAGAGCTCAGTCGGAGTTCACCGCAGCAGATCTCTAGCATTATAATCAGGAAAGCAGGCTTTAACTAATTACTGCAAGTGTGGAGTGTTTATAAGCACAGCCAAAGAGCTACATGTCATTTACATTCACATTTATTTATTAGACATTTTTATTCAAAACTATGTTCAAGTGAAGGGAAATCAGAGAGCAGGAACAGCCAGCATCCTGCATCCCTAGAGGTGTTGGAGTTTAAGGGCCCAAACTTCTGAGATACACCCCACTGTGTTGTGTTTCAATATTTTAAAAATTGAAAAGGACATGGGTACAGAGCTATAAAAAGCAAAGTGCCAGCCTATTACAGGAAAACTGAGGCAACCTCCTATTACAAGCATTATGGTAAACTTACACACTATCACATCAGAGATCAACACTGCAGATTTATGCATGAGTGTAAAAGCCCGCGCGCTGCGTACCTGTATGATGGCCTCCAGTTCCTGCACTTTCATCTTCAGCACCTCGTTCTCCTGCTGCAGCTGAAAGATCTGCTCTTTGCGGGGCTGGGTTTCTATGTCATTCCTCAGCTTCAGCGACTGCTTCCTCTCCAGCTTGCACTCTTCCTCCATGTGGTTGAGCTTGTGTTTCAGCTGGTCAATCTGAAACATCATCCTTTATGACATTTCCATGGTGGTGTATCAGCAATATTTACAAGTAATACTACAAGGGTACAAATATTAGGATTAAAAGCTGCAGAATGAAACAGCGGCTGGCCTGTTGAGGAAACTTCATAGAGACCCAATCTCATTTGATCTTATTTTACATCTCATGTGCTGCCTGTAGTCGACTCCTGGTGAGCGAAACAAATATCTAATCAATACTGAAGTCAAAAACATTGCAAGCCGAAGTCCCAATTCATTACAAACAACACATTTACGAGCTGCTCAGCTTGCTCTTTGGAGTTGATAAAAATTGCATGACGCAGCCAGCATCGTAAAATCATTTGCTGACTAAGATGTAAAATAATTACAATGTTCTTATTACAATGCCAAAAACAAAGTTATGGCTAGGCTAACGCAGTGCCTAGGCTGAAATGGGAGTATTATAGTTATGTGTGGCAAAGTAGAAAGAGTACACTCTAAAATAACGATAAAAAGTCCAGCGTAGTAAATACACAAACCTAAATAATACACACATACATAAAGGGTTAGACGGTCCCTGAAGCAATTGGGACTTAAGGGCTTTGCTCAAGGGCCGACCCTGGGATTTCCAATCACAAGCACCGCATCCTAACCCTATGAAGGCCTTCTGGAGACCTTGAGGTGAGCCACAAATCAGATGCTATTTGTGGAGAAAACGCCGGAAGGTTGCCCCGCCCCCTGACCTCCAGCTGCAGGTCGCGGCTCCTCACGACGGCCATGTTCTTCTCCTCGCTCAGCTGCGCCAGCCGCATGGCCAGGTTGTAGTTCTCGTCCTTCACCTTGCCGAGCTCGTCGCTGTAGTTGTTGCGCTCCTCCTTCATCTTATAGTAGCGCTTCTGGAAGGCGATCAGCTCCTGATTGGCCAGCCGCACCTTCTTGTGCTCGTCCTCCAGGAGCCGATGGCGTCCCACTATGGTGGCACGTTGCACGTCCTTGTCTTTGGCCTGCTGCTGCAGTGTGAGCACCTCGTTCATTAGGAACTGCGTCAGTCCCTCATGGCCCTCTTCCACTGCGGACACAGTAATGTGTTTGTCCCCCTCAGAGAAGACAAGCGCTAACAAGGCCCCGGTCAGCGGCAATGCTGAGCTCTGCTTGGTACATGAAGTGACTGTAGTTCCAGTTAATCTCAAAGCTTTGTTAGACATTAAAGTCATTTTCCCAGTGAGAGTTCGGAGTTCTTATCCCACGTGCAAGAAATAAGGTGGGACCATGGACCGTGGAACTGAGGAGGGATGGGGGGGGGGACACAAGCCTGTGTCCGGGTATCTTTTAGACCATCATTAATAATGCATTTTTTGTGAACAATCACAAAAAAATTCCTACAAATAACGAATAATGAATGCAAACCAGTAAGACTTCATTAAGGAAAGCCTGAACGTATCCAAGTTTTTCAAAACTAAAAATTTAAATAGCAAACAGACAAATGGAGATGACTGCCCCGCACCCCCTCAGGGTCCCCCTCCGTTTCCTATGTGTTCCGCGGTCCATGGCTGAGTCACCTGCGCTGGAAGACCTGCCCACACACACCTTTCACACAATAAAAGGCTCAGAGTCGCCAAGTGATCTAAGAAGCACGTCTTTGGTGGATGAGAGGTTTTCCAAGGGAAAACATTCATGCTGCCAGATTCATGTCTGGTGTCATTCAACAACTCTCTCGTCTTTAATTAGTCAGTTTCTGTCTCACAGGATATGAGTCGTTTTAAAAGGTATGTAGGACATTCCAAAAATGCTTGAAAAAGGGGGGCAGACTTGGTCCTACAAAGCTCCCAGTAGAAATAATTCATATAAAGTATTAAATTATGTGGAAAAAAAGGTGTAATTATTACTGTGATTTATATTAAACATAACATGGGCTGGACTGCAAAAGCACAGGAATAAGGCATCCAGGCCAATTTGCTCTTAAGCTCTTTGCAATGGACAGATATCTCACATGAAAATACCAGCTTAATGGTAACCAGTCATAGTAACTTACCAACGATAGTTGAGAATCTGCGGGTGGGAGCATTGCCTGTTACCAGTTTGTACAGCTCAGGATAATAAAACTCCAGACTCTCCAAAAACACAACGTATCCTCGTTGACCTTTAGTGCGCAAGATATCCATAAGTCTGCCTGAGGAGAGGAAAACAACACTTTCACATCTTTATTGGTATTTATTTTCTCAGGAGACACTTATTCACAGCAACGTTCACCTGTCTTACTGTACATAGGCATGTATTCAGCACAGGGTGACTCTGGGCTTGGAGCCTACTGCAGGAAGCGCATGGCACAGGGCAGGGGGCCAGCACAGGGTGACTCTGGGCCTGGAGCCGACTCCAGGAAGCGCATGGCACAGTGCAGGGGGCCAGCACAGGGTGATGCCAGACTTTCTTAAATATATTTTTCAAAAATCAGAAATTATGCATCACCTATTCAGAATTTTCTCTAGCTGTGTGTGAAAGGTAGATAAAACAGAAAATCAGCATCTCTTCTGTAGTCTGTGCCCCCCAAAATGAGCCATTGTCCCCCCCAAAAATATCACCCACCAAGGACACTGAGATTTATTTTATTTGAACTTTTCTTTCATAATGAAGCCTCTCCCAGGGGTGTGAATACAGATCATCTGCTTACCTAATGCTCATGCCACCCATTTTCATTCATTTATATATCAAATTCATATTGGAAGCATTTTTGTTTTCTTATCTGGAAATAGGAACCCCTCTTTGGGATCCCTCAAACACTGAACTAAGTGTTATCAATGACCTCATGGGCGGCATTTCTGCTACTCCTAAAAAGTGGAAGAAACAAACTTAATGGTTTGTTTCAAGATGTGCAACCTGCATTCCTGACTTGTATTACTTTTGACTTTGGTTAAAATTACAAAGGAATATGATATACTGCTGCAATTTAAATGCAAAGCATCAAGCAGCAAGAACAAATTTACATGCTTGTGGATGCATGACATTACTTTATCTACACATGCTGAAAATAGAGGTAACTGGAGGGTGCCCCACAAGGCCGCACACTCCCGGCGATGTATAACCTTATCCCTCCACAAATAATTCCGCATTTCTCCACCGCTGCAAATTAACCAAGAAATAAACTCCACTCGCAATGCCTAAACCAATAACACTTTTTCATTTTCTCCAATCCCCCAGTCCATTTCTGCTATCAAAATTTTTTAACTAATGCGCGCGCGCATGGCGTAATTATGCATCTCGTGCCTGAGCGACGGTGGAATTCAAAGCATGTTATTTTTTGGTGCATTGAAAGATCCAGGAGTTTCTGCATGCTTCAAAACCAAGGAACATTCGCCAGAAGACTGTAACTGTTCAGCGTGTGCCCTTTGATAAAGTTATCTTCTAGAAGCCTCCATTTAAAAAAATGCATAAAACAGCACTGGAGGAAATGCTGGCTAACCACGTATTACAGCTTCCTTAAAATTGTTTCGAGACATGATTTGTTTTCTGTTACCAAGTCTGTGTTCCAATTAGCAAGACTAAAAAAAACATGTTGGAGTGCACAAATGTGTGTTATTTTGCTTTTGGCATGATGTGTGTAGGCTTGCTGTGAAAAGTACATATGGTTCACACTGCCACAGACCTTTAGTACCTCCTATAGGAGCTTAAAAGGTTCCATTCATCATCACATGGCACGATCGGCAAGACACAGAGGAGCCTTAGTAAATGATTGATGGTATGTCTTCCACAAAGGGCTTTTTTTCCCCCAAGCCCTATTTGCATTTCGACAGCTTATGCTGCCGCGTAATCCTGCAGTGGCTGTTTGCTTGCGGAGCGCCTTACCTGCCCTGTTGACGCGGGACACCAGCATGTGCGAATACAGAACCTCGTCCTCGTCCTGCTCGTCGATGACTTTGCACTGCCGTAGGTACGGCGTCAGCTTGCTGGAGTTGATGTGCCGGCTCAGTGTGTACCGGTGGTTCTCCACGTTCTCCCAGATCGTCTCGTCATCCTCCTTCACCGCATCCGAGTACCCGTTCTCCATTGTGACTGGCACCTGAGGTGGTCAGAACAACAGGCAGTGTGCTAAGCTAACCTACTTACATTTATTTACACTTACGTAGCAGAGACAACATACAATTGCAAGGTCATGTGGTATGATTACTGAATAGGATAAAAATCCACAGCCTTCCACACATGGGTTCAGATCCCTGACTTACTGAGCTGCACAATATTATTATACTGCCACGGAATCATGAAGCTATGCACGCATTCACAGGAAGGAGTACAGCGATAACATTTTACTTGATGGGGCCCAAATACATAGTAATAACCGAGTTACTACTGAAGTACTAATTATAAACAAATCATAAACAAATATAACTGCTACTTGAGATAAAAGATGTTTCATGATTCATAAATGATGAACAAACATGACATCAGTATTTCACGTGTGTTACTCATTACTTGTTCCTTCAGTAGTTCACAAAAGTTTACAGAATAAACAGACATATGAACAAGTATAGTAACTGTAACAAACATAGTACGATTCACTAATGATGAAGTAACACAAGATCATTATGTAACTAAGACTTAGTTTGTGGTTAATTAACACATAAATAATAGTATAATACTACATTATTTGTGCCCCATCAAGTAGTGTTACCAGTACGGCTCCCATACACAGGCTGGTCAAAGATGGTATTTGGGGCAGGAAAAAGCATCTGGCAAATAAAAATGTCCATCCATCCATCTTCCAAGACTGCTCATCCAAGCACTGGATGACGGGCAGCCTGGAGCCTATCCCAGGAATCTCAGGACATGAGCGAATGGACACCTTGAATGGGATGCCAGTCCATTGCTGGGCACAGACACTCACAAACACAATGTGCAATTTAGAGACACCTAAGCAAAGATTATAAATGCAAGAACAAGGAATCCAAATATCCGCAGTAATAAATTACACTGCTCTCCAGTGAAACACTGATCCCTACTGATAAACTTTCAAAGTGTTAAAGGACAAAATACCACCACTGTTCATCATGAGTATTCAAATTTCAATGCAAATTCTGCTGTTTTGCTGTTGTCTATTTTTGAGTTTCCTATCTCTTTTGTAACGTAATGCAATGCTTACAGTATGTAGCGTTAGCAAAGCTGCCTCACGTTAAATGAAAACAATTGCAGCAACAAGCGTTCCAGATGTGCACTGCACTTGCCCATCAGGTGCACCACTGTTCCACTGTTCTTTCATTTCACAACCATTCCGTGTCCCTGCTGAGTCATCATCAGCTTCAGCTTTATATTACCTTACTGTCCCCCTAACAGATCACCCATCCTGTGGCTGCTGTGATTCACTGAGAGTTGATGGTATTACCTTTGCTTTAGCGTACAAGATATAAAAATAAATAAATATATAAAACAGTATGCAATGAATCCTAATAAAATGACTTCTCAAATTTAAGTCTGTTTACATATGTACTTTTCTTTACCGCCTTACATTCAAGATGAATATTTTTTCACAATGTTATTATGCTGCAGTTATATGTCTTGTCTAGCAAAAAGGCAGATTTTAAAAAATCAGTATTAATCATGTTTTTGTGAGCTGCATAATCATGGAAACAAGTTTATAAGTATTTTATAAGGTCAGATATTAGGGCCCTTCCCAGGAATTGACCTACGACCTTTTTCATCGTTTAATCATTTGACGAGTTAACAATGGAGAGAGAATTAGCATTTTGTTTTCTTCTGGGAATGAACATGTCTCTATTTGCCGCTTCAGTAGTCAGTCATGTGCCTATCAGGGCATCTTTAAATAGAGGGGGATCTTGCCATTTACATAACGAGATGAAAACGAGCTGGAAGTTTAAGGGGTGGAAATTCCACCCAAAATTATATCATCTTCATTTTGCTCATCGTTAGACAACCTCACCCGGAGGAAGCCATGTTATGCTGCATGAATAAAGAGCTGCCCTATTGTTTCCGGGAGAAAATCACATTTGCATATGTCATGAAGAGACATCTGTTTTCCAGTTTGTGCTAAAAGTTCACAGACAATTAAATGTGTGCCCTCTGAAAATTGTCAGTTTTTTATTGCCTAAAGATCAACATGCACTGTGTTTTTCAATTTGTTAAAATTGTTCCTATACTTCTATAAGATGCTTTTATATTAGTCCCACTAAATACCTTACAAGCCCATGAAACCTTGACCATATTTTAGAAATATATAAATATTTCTGTCAGGCCCAACTCAACAGCAATGATCATATGCTATATAAAAGCTATCGCACTGCATCAAACAAGCACCAGGCACCGAAGAAAATATTTCAGTGTTTCAGGGATGCAGGTAAATATAAATAATCTGTAGCGAACAGAAGTCAAAGGACTTCAGGGCAGGGGTCAGGAAAAGAAAAAGGGCCTTCACTGAATATTACAAGATCAGGGAAACAAAACAGGACCATGAGGGGTCAAAACAGGAAGGCTTAGCATGAGGAAGAACACAGGCAACAGAAGGATAGACATTAATGACCGGATTGGGGATGACGAGACAAACGAGTACTTAAGTGCAAAAGACTAACAAGGGGCTAACAAGAGGCAGCTGGGAGAGATTTCCACATGAGAATTAGGAACAAGAGGCAAGACTGGAAGGGTAGACGAGTAACAGGCGTGGCTTGTAAGGGCCATGACTGGGAGATGACGGGCAGGGATATGACAGTCCCCCATCCCCCGTTTCTCCCCAGCGAGGCACACACTCTGGGTGTGGGGATATGGACAGGGCATTCAGGGACCGAGACACCAGATGGGACAACAACAGGGTCAGGACACAACACACACTGGGGCCAGGACAATGGAACTAAATACCAGGGTAAACACAAAAAGCCAGTGAACACGAGATGGACAGGACATGCAGAGGGGCAACACAGAGGGGGACATAAGAGGGAGCCATAGGGGACACAGGCCAGGGTAAAACAAAGGCAGGACCGAGACTGAGGCACAATGAAGGGAAACAGGGGAAATCTAGGCAGTCCTCCAAACCCAGGGGAGCTGGGCAATGACCCAGGGATGCTGACCCTCATGGGCCTGTTCATCAGTGAAGTGGAGTCTGTCCAGAGTGCAGGATCTAAAGGCCTCAGAGGGACAGTGGGACCAGAGCAGGAGGGTGCAGAGGGGACTGCTGGACAGGAATAGGCGGGCACCAAGGGGATTATAGGACAAGAGCAGGAGGGCGCCTCTTTTGGGCCTCAGCCGCCACCAGCGGCTGCCCTAGGACTTAGGGCAAGGTCGGCTGAAGCCTTGGGCTGAGACAGAGGCCCACAGAGTGGGCCTAGGGTGAGGTCCAGAGGATCCCACTCAAAGTCTACCAGAAGGGCATCCTCCAGATCACTCCAATCCAGTCTGGCAGCTACTGGGGAGTCAAGCATCAGACTGGCGGTGGCCAGGGAGTCAGACATCAAGCTGGCTGCAACTTGCAAGGGATGACGAAGCCAGGAGGCTGTGAAGCAGGCACCAAGGCAATGACAGGAGACAAGGCGAGCACCCTATTCACACCAAGAAATGAGGCAGGTGCTGATGAGAAATTGGGAGATGAGGCGGGTGCCGGCGGGACATCAAGGGCCTGGAGCCAACAGAACACTTGGAGGAGAGGCTGGAACTGATTGCATGCCTGGAAGTGAGTGGGACGTAGCTGGGACACCTGGATGCAAGTAGGGTGCAGCCAGGACACCTGTAGGTGAGCAGAGCCCATCTGGGACATCTAGAGGGGAGCAGGGTGCAAAGGCCCCCTTGGGCTGGGAACTGGGGACTCAGGCGGAATGACCCTCGTTGGGCTGGGGTTGAGGGGCGGAGCAGCTCCTTTCGGGCCAGGAACCTGAAGCACAGGCAGAGCAGTCCACTCCGGGCCGGGAGACTAGAGCATGGGTGGAACAGCCCTCATTAAGCCGGAAACTTGGAATTTGGACAGAGTGGCCATCTTTGGGTCGGTGACTTGGGACTCGGACCATGGCCCCCCTCCCAGGTCAGGCTCTGGAGGCTCAGGAGGAGCGGGTGTGGCTAACTCCTTCTTCCTCCTCTTAGGACGAGCCAGGCATGGCACTTACGGAGAGTGAGAAGAACCCCATGTCTTCCTCAGGACCTACAATGGCTGGGACTGCCCATGCTGGGACGGAGGCTTGACATTCAGGCTGGGTGGTGGCCTCCCCCGGGCAGGGCTCTGGGGACGTGTCAGCGGCTTCCTCTGGGCAGGGCTCTGGCGAGATAGGATTCTGTCTCCATGGGGACAGGCAAGTCAGGCTACATCTGCCCAGGGTCAGGCAAGATGGGCTCTGTCTACACTAAGTCAGGCAAGGTGGAAGATGCGGGCACAGCCAGCTTCTTCCACTTCCTCCTTCTGCAGCGGGAAATGGAAAGCAAAACTGAGGTGAGCTGCGGTGAGACAGCGGGCAAATAGGCTTCACAATGTGGAAAAGTGGTGGACAGAGCGGTCTCTCACTCATTTAATTGCTGCACCTCCCTCATACCGGTCCGGACCTTCTCTGCCTCCTGGGGATCAGCTTCTGGGTGATCCCCAACAGTATCTCCCCCACCTGCATGAAGAGCGTTTTGGCCTTGGGCACCTCCCACAAGGTGGGATTTTGCCCCTACTCCATGTGGGTGTCCAGGAGGGAGAAGAAATTCTCGGCTCACAAGCGGAGAGACTCCGGAAGGAGCAGCGGGGGTTCTGGAAAACCAGGAGTCTCTGGCAGACTCTGCTAAGGCATGGCTTCCTAAGGTCTCCTCTAGAACTGTAACCCATACGTGGTTGGCACCAGCGGGGAAATCTGCACGGTGCTCCTCCACCTCGGGCTCCTCCAGGTTGCTGCCACTCAGTGGGTCCAGCTTCAGATTGTCCACAAACCACCGAGGTGAGTAGACAGGAGGCTCGGGCTGAGAAAGGCTGGGTGTAGGGAAAATCATGCAGGTAGAGATGCAGAGTGTAAGGGGCTCTTGGGGATAGCCACTAGGCAATTTGCGGGGTCTGGTCATTCTGTTGCCAACAGAAGCCAAACAACTTGAGAGCAGGTGTCAGGTAACGAAAAAGGGGCTTTACTGAATAATACAAAAGCAGGGAAACAAAACAGGACCGCAAATTGACTGTAACAGGCGTGGCTTGTTAGGGCCATGAGGCAATGGGCAGGGATATAACATAATCTGGATTTTCCTATAAAGTATAAAACTATTTTTCCGATACATAGAAAAGTCAGTCTCCCTGCACAGAGGCTTAAACACAGTTGGAGTTCCCCCTTTGACCTACATCGATACAGGAATGGGGGAAACCCAGAGCCTAGATCAACCAAAGTGCCCAAGGAATGGACGCCTAGGCGAGAATCAGTCCCTTCAGTAGGAGTCGGTATAACAGCAAGTGTGGGATTTAGTGACTTTGCATGTCCAATAGTGATTGATCATCAGCCTTATGCTCTGAGCTTGCTGGTTCTTATCAGTCTGACTTGCCTGGTAGGACGTACGCTCAGAAAGAAGGACCCGGAGAACTGGAGGTAAGCTTGCTGTGTTTGCTAGATAATGGGGTCTTACTCCCGATGGATATTTTTCATGTGGTGCTTTCTTTCAGTTTCAGTTCTTCAGTTTATTTTCAGTGTATTCTTTCTTTCTTTCTTTCTTTCTTTCTTTCTTTTTGCTTTTTTGTTTTTCATTATAAATTATTGTAGTTTCCTTGGAGAAACCTGCAATCCAGAATCTGTCTCCCACCATCATAGTTCAACTTCACCCAACAATCAGCCAAGATACATTAAAAATATATATTTATCAATATTTCAATTTATCACACTTTACGACACAAAAACAAGCACTCATAAAACAAACAGGCTATAAATGACACTCATTTACTAAATATATATGTACTCTATACTTATATTCAATTAGTACTTGCTTATAATCCATGCCATTTTTCTGACATCCTTTTTCTGAGAAGTAACCCAAATTCTTACCATTTAACTTACCAGTAAGTAACAAATAAGTCATTAAGTCATTAACCATAAGTCATTAACTTACCCAACTATGCGAACTTAATGACCCATGTTTTACAAAAGTGAAAGTGCCCATCGCTGGTCAAACCACCAAAAGCATTGAGTTTTAGGGGGAAATGTACGAAATGAGTCTCTCATCCGGCAGCTAAACCAAGAGTGATGCAAAGTAAAAGTAGGTGTAATTTCTCCCCTGGAGATGAGAAGGACGCCAGTGCTGCACAAGCGGTGGTGTGAAGAACAGTTTGACAGTGCTCCAGCGCTCCCCACCTTACACAAAGCCCAAGCCCACCCACATACACCTCGTCTCTCACCCTGGCAGATGGTAGGGGTGTTCTTCCTCTTATATTATTTTAGGACGCCAACGCTTCTTTCACTTCATAATTTCTTTTTCTGAAATCCGTCTCGGTCTTTTAGGTTTCACACTTCCTGTTGATTGGGTTACATTGACTTGAAACTGTACGAATATGCTGGATCTAGATGGAGTAATGCCTGAACTGAATATAATTTATTTCCTTTCACAGGAATCGAAAAAAACAAAAACAATCAAAGACTAAAAGTTATGTTGTTCCTATAGCCCAATGTACTATGTAGTATCTACACTGAGCTCCCTGGTAAGCTAACATCTGCAAAGTATTCATCACATTTACAATAACGTCTTTCAATACATCTGAACCATGAACTTTTTTTGCATAAATTGAGGTTCTTTTTAAGTCATCAGGTGGATAATTTAGGTATCGAACAGCCCTGAGCTTTTCTAAACCCCATTACTTTTGGACTTTTGGAAATATCCGACTGATATGCTGGTATGTTTATTGCAAAAGCTTGCAAGCATACCGACTACAGTTCCTCTACAGAAGTGTAAACCACCAGCATACCGTTTGTACGCAGACAGACCTCCTGGTGGTCTACGTATCATGGACAACAAAGTGTCTCTAAACAATCCCCCTTCTCTGGATGACAACCACACCGTCGGGGCAAACGCACAGGAAATGTGGATGAGACGCTGAAACTCAAAACTATTGACATTCTGTCATATCTTTCAAAAATTACACGGACGGTGGGTGTTCGATCCGCTCCACCTGTTTTCCATCCATAATAAAACCCCAGAAACCAAGACCAGCCAGCTCACAGTCACAGTCACAGCAGGCACCCCTGAGCCAACCTACCAAGAACTTGGACAAGCATATGTCCAAGGCAGCACCACCCATGTGTTAGATGTGCCCTTTAGCACATCTCATGATGCTCCACCACATCCTCCACACTTCAGCGCCTGTCTGTGTCTGTGTAACGCCTGGCCAAGCCACTTCTCCTCCCTGACGGTGACGTTTTCAGTGAGCAGCACTAGTGTAACGTAGCATTTTACATCCACGTTAATCATTTTTATGGAGTTAATCACTCCATCTCCATACAAAATGCTCCCCGTGATTGATAATGATACCTGTTTGAGCACTTTTTAGCATAATTTGTTTCCTGTCTTTTCCCATCTGATCCACAGCATGTATGTCTGTGTGTGACTTTGTTTCTCCTCCTGCAAGTAAACACAGCATCCAACACCCTGCTCAGAGCTATTACCCCCACTGTGACCCCATGCCCCTTGTTATATCTCACCGCTTACCCCAAAATAGCTGCCTTTTGCTTGCCTTTCTCCCTGATACTTCCACACCCATGTCCCAATAATACCTTTACTCCATGTTAAACAGCACTCCTCACCATCCCGCCCACAGCAGGTCATACAGCCTGCTGTTAGCCCTCGTGGCTCCTACATTCTTTTGTACTCTGCCAGATAGTAGCAGTTGTTCTAATTATGCCAGCTAAATAAATCAAATGCAAATATATGCCCACTGTGAGTGAGAAATAAAACATTAAATGTTCAATGTGAGGTTTCAGCTGCAGCAAAGACCCCCTGCGAACCAGCTATTAGCCACCGCTAATGAGTTACTCTCCAACTGGGATCTTTGCAATCCAAGTAGACTATACAGCCTGTGTCAGCTTGCAGGTACGTTAATGATTAGATTTGATTAGATTAGATCAGGTTAGATAGAATTTAGCTTCACTGTCATTGTACTGTGTACAGGTACAGAGCAATGTCAGGCAGAAAGGATATAACCAGGTGCAAATAAAATACATACAAATGCAATAAACATGATAAATCATAATTATAGATTACGTCTGTCTGCAAAATTATACATGACGTAGTCCGGAATATGAAGTATAGACGACAGGAAGTGCAGAGCAAACGACTGTGATAAGAAATATGATAGAAGAGCAAACGGAGAGACATAAATAGATGTACGGAAATGCTTCCACGCTCATAATTTTTACCTTGAGCATGAAACTTTAGTTCCCCCAGTAACACATCCAGCTATAAAACTTTAAGTCACTTTGGACTGAAGAGTGGACAATGACAAAACTGACTGAAATTATGTAAAATAACAGATCATGTCATAAATGGAGTCCACCACGCTTCATTTGATCTTCACTGACTGACTCATTCAATTGCATCTGAAAATTAGAAATAATTGGAGCAAGGAAGCCTCACATGTGGTGGAACTGGAAATAAGCTACGAGAATCTCGGGAAATATGAAGACAGAACGTCCGGCCATGTTTATCCATCCGCACACACGCTAATGCAGCTTCAGCGCTTAATTGCTCCTGCGATACCTGCCTGTTCCATGGTTTCATTATTTCCTCTATTTAAATGTAGCCCCTTATATAAAACAGAAAGTAGCTATAATGTTAAGGCAGTGTGATTTCACGCTCGGCATGCTATGCAGTTGTTCGTAGTTTATATCATTTATTTTGTGAGCTATATCTGAGCAGTAAGACATAGGTAATGCCTGAGGTTAATTAAGGCACAACAGTTATTGTATTTTTATACTTAAGTTTTCCAAGAAGCATTTAAAAAGCACGTGTTAAATAGGGTGCTAACAAACTCATATGCTGCTACTGAGAAATTGCACTTCTGAGGGGTGTGAAAGTTAAACACTTCATAGCACAAGTGAGCTGTCAAAAATATAAATTAATTCCTGTTTGTATGTGGAGCCCGATGACAACTCATGGCAGGCCTCTAATGGTACGTAACTCTGTCCCTCCTTCAAAGGGACTATTAAAGAAGGACTGCATGGATACACATAATGCTGCTTGAAAATCGAGGAGTATTACCAGAAGCAATAGAGTTTCATTTTTTTAATTGCTTAACTGATGTTTTTTTTTCATCCAAAATTGCCTTATTTCTTTTACTTTTTTTTAACCATTTTTTCCAAGTAATTCTCAATAAGTACATTTTGCAGAATCACCACAGTGGGCACTTATTACCTGTTTATTATAACTAAACATACTGTATCATTAATTCCATTTATTTATTTATTTTTAACAAATCAAACCAGTGCAAATTGATAAATTATATAGATGATAGAGGTCATAGATTATATAACATTCAGCTGAAAGCTGATGTGTATATAGCTTCTTGGTATACAAGATCTTACAAAATCTTGTAATACAAATATCTGTGAGGCTCCAACAGGTGTTGTTTACCTCCACATACATCTAAACAACACTGTCCAGAACACATGTACACAGTGCTATCTATATTCAGACTTGTGCTAATCTTCATAGCCAACCGGTTATCGGAATTCACTGCATGATAAATAAAATGAAAGTTAAATTTCAGCCTTTCAATGTGCAAAATTATTCACCTACATAGAGTGGAAAAAAAAACCCACTTCCTACTGAGTGCATTGATCAGCTGATAAAGCGTGGCCAGGGTGTATGTAGGGACAGGACCCTTTCTTTGCCACGGAATTTAAAGCGGCATTTATACAGTGTCATTCCAGAGGTGGCGTGCGGGCCTGAAGAAGGCTAAACGAGCTTCGCAAGGCCTACAGATGCATCACTACAGAAGTAAACTGAAATACAGCACATATTATCGATCTCTTCATCTTCCAGTCCCTTTTCCAGTATATATATAGGTGAGGACTGTGTATACTACTGTGCATGCTCTATGCTATTATATCAGATTATTAGAAGAAAAATGTATGCATTCAAATAACAAAAATCCACAAAACATGGGCGAACATTACTTTCAATTTAAGTGATAAGTTATAATACAAATAAAACGCGTAAACAGTTAATGTCCATATAATAATAACGATTCTGTTAAAGCTGAAATTTCTTTAACAATAAAAGGTATTCAAGGCAGGTATGGTATATTGCGTAAATATCACATGGATAATTGACAGTGGACTTTAAGTGGTCGATGCTTCTAGCTAATACATGTGATGACACAGGTGTTGCAGTAAATAACAGTTTTACTGCAATTTTCAGTACTAGAGTAAGATAATCGCCAACTGATAAAAACGCTCAAGTTAATGCAATAGCTACTGTTATGCTGTTATTAGTCGGGCTACTTTTTACACTAAGTGTACTTTTCAAGCACATATTGTAGGCTATGGTTCGTGACCGGCTGGCTTATGGAAAAAGCATTACTATACTGTTCATTAAAACAGTCGGAAGGGACGTAAAGTACTCCACAGTTTTGTCATTTTCCACGAAATCATTTCGTGGCCCGCCGCGTTAAAGCATTTAAAGTTAATTTTTAAAACATTCACACTTGAATAATCATAATAAGTTAAACCCGAGCATTTTTTAAAAAATGTTAATCATCCGCACGGAAAAGACGCGGCGCGTGGTACGGACTTACATTTAGTTAGTAGCAGACAATAAGCTGCGAAAACGCTCCGTTTGCGGCAAACACAGCAAATAATGCATGCGAGATGTAAAGTTTGGAAAACTTTTGCATGTGTTCGGCATGCATTGTGAGTTTTTTTTTTTTTTTTTACCTTGATCGTAGTTACTTTCGGTGATCTGGCCTCTGTAACACACGGGTTTACATTTCCGCAAAAAAAGAAGAGAGGAAATAAAAATAAACACGATGGGGGTCGCAATCGTTCCTCAGCAAACGAATGTCTGAACGGGGCGTGTATTATTACATTACATTACAAGCTGCTCAGACATCAGATGAAGGGCAATGCAATGCTTTTCGGTAACGTTCTTTAGTTAAGACAGTACTGATTTGACTTTTATGGTGTTTGACGCCAATTGTGTGGGTGAGCAATAATGTCATTGCCGCGAATTTGTGCTCGGGCACGGTTCTTTGATTCTCTATCAAAGCATGCACGAACTGATGCTTGCAAACTGCAATTCAGACACAGTAGCGCATTACTGTTTACGAGGTAAATCTGATTATGGTT